CTTTATGTTCAGGGTCATTGTCCTGCTGGAAGGTGAAGCTCCGCCCCAGTCTCAAGTCTTTTGCAGACTCCAAGAGGTTTTCTTCCAAGATTGTCCTGTATTTGGCTCCATCCATCTTCCCATCAACTCTGACCAGCTTCCCTGTCCCTGCTGAAGAGAAGCACCCCCAGAGCATGATGCTGCCACCACCATATTTGACAGTGGGGATGGTGTGTTCAGAGTGATGTGCAGTGTTAGTTTTCCGCCACACATAGCGTTTTGCATTTTGGCCAAAAAGTTCCATTTTGGTCTCATCTGACCAGAGCACCTTCTTCCACATGTTTGCTGTGTCCCCCACATGGCTTGTGGCAAACTGCAAACGGGACTTCTTCTGGTTTTCTGTTAACAGGCTTTCTTCTTGCCACTCTTCCATAAAGGCCAACTTTGTGCAGTGCACGACTAATAGTTCTCCTATGGACAGATTCCCCCACCTGAGCTGTAGATCTCTGCAGCTCGTCCAGGGTCACCATGGGCCTCTTGGCTGCGTTTCTGATCAGCGCTCTCCTTGTTCGGCCTGTGAGTTTAGGTGGATGGCCTTGTCTTGGTAGGTTTACAGTTGTGCCATACTCTTTCCATTTCTGAATGATTGCTTGAACAGTGCTCGGTGGGATGTTCAAGGCTTGGTAAATCTTTTTGTAGTCTAAGCCTGCTTTAAATATCTCAATAACTTTATCCCTGACCTGTCTGGTGTGTTCTTTGGACTTCATGGTGTTGTTGCTCCCAATATTCTCTTAGACAACCTCTGAGGCCGTCACATAGCAGCTGTATTTGTACTGACATTAGATTACACACAGGTGCACTCTGTTGAGTCATTAGCACTCATCAGGCAGTCTATGGGCAACTGACTGCACTCAGACCAAAGGGGGCCGAATAATTACGCACACCGCACTTTTCAGTTATTTATTTGTAAAAAATCTTTGGAATCATGTATGATTTTCGTTCCACTTCTCACGTGTGCACCACTTTGTGTTGGTCTTTCACGTGTAACTCCAATAAAATTGATTCATGTTTGTGGCTGTAATGTGACAAAATGTGGAAAAGTTCAAGGGGGCCGAATACTTTTGCAAGCCACTGTATATTTGTTCGCAGATGTTAGCAGCTATCAGCTATTTTGAAACAAAAAAGACACTTTTTATTCATAACAAGAACTCCATAACAGCAAATGCAAATGCTATTTATGGTCTCCTCACAACAATGATAAGAAAAATAAACTGGGCCAGTAGGGCATATTTGTTAATACAGGGATACACATGTTAATGTGATCTCTGGTCTCCCACTCAGATACACAGGTCTCCGAGTGTCCAGCATTCAGACGGCTACCTGAGGACACTCATGTGAGAGAAAATCTGCTCACACAGATATGTAGAGCCAAATACTGTCAATAAGGCCTCTGTAATGTTCTGAAGACAGTTAAACTTGTCAGGTAGTGATGTCCAGCAGGTGAAAATGCAGCTCCATGAACACGCACAGCTGTGGATTCCAGCTGCGTTAGTAGTTCTCCAAACTTTGACCCCCATAGTGTCGAGCTTTTCAGTTCTATCAGCTGCATTTCGATGTCCTCTGTGTCCATCCAGTTTAATGCAAACCCAACTGCTCATTAAAGCTTTCTGGTTTGATCATAAAAGAAAACATTGGTCCATAAACCTGAAAGTCCACAAAACGCATTGTGAGTTCTGTCTCAAGTCTACGGATGTATCCGTTTATTTCAGTGGTGCTGATGCTGCGCTGAGCGGACAGCTCCTGAAGTATTTGAAGTGTCGGAATGTGGAAATTTCAACATCGCTTGCATTTTAAAACTGCCAGCTAGCAACGTCCCTCTCACCGGTAGGCTAAGTTATTTTTAGCCAATTACAAGTTGAATCTGGTAGTTTGGGTTGTTAGCTAAGATACCGTCATTAAGAAGTGGCACAACTAATGTGTCTATGTGAGCTAATTTGCACTGTGCACCTCTGGCCCGGCCATTTTTTATTTTTTTATTTTTTTTTTAATGCACCTTCTTAGCTTAATTCACTGCGTGTCGTGCCATCAGTTAACCCTTCGCATGCCGGCTGTGGCACGCGTGCCCAAGGTTGCCGACCCCTGTCATAAACCATACAGCTGGTATGCCAGACGATATGATTAATAGAGATCCTGTAAAGTTGGACTTTTAACTTGGGAGTCTTTTGGGATTGACTGACTTTTGGAACCAACCTCAAGAGGCCACTAGAGGAACTGCAGCTTTTGGCGGTTCTACACTGACCTGGAGGTCAATTGTTTTTCCCGTATTCCTTTATTCTGCTCCCAAGTGGCAGCTCAGATGTCAATATATATAGTCACTAATGCAAAATAGCAACAAATGCATTAAGAATGCAAATAGCATCACTGAAAAAAAAGTCTCATGACCTAAGCAGCCCAAACACTCGAGCAATGCATATACCAGGAACTTTGCATTTGACTACAACTGGAATATTTTGTAAAAGTTAGGTAAATTAAACTCCTTGGAAAATTAGTGGCTTTTATTTTAGTGTTTGGCGCTGTGAAAAAGAGTCATGAAAAATATTTGATGTTCTGTTTGTGCGTGTTTTTTTTGTTTGTTTTGTTTTTTTTTAATAGATTTTAACTTTCTTAAACAATCAAGTTGGAATGAAATGAGAAGAAACGTGCAATTTGCTCAGATTCATTTGAAAGCCGCCCAAGTATTCTGATCCAAAACTACTTTGCAGAATTGCTGTTTTTTTCTGTCTCACTTTGGTGACGAGCCAAAAGGTGACCTCACACTCGTTGTCTTGGTAATGTTACTGTGATCCATTTGCTGTATTTGGCAAATGGCCTTAGCTTTATCCACCATTTTGCCATCTGGGACACTGAATCAAAGACGCTTTCAGATGGAGTTGTTTGGAGCTCATGGTTTCCTCCATTTTGTTAAAGGACAGGATAATAGCCTGCAGCGGAGGATGAGGATTAAGTGAATGGCTCTGACCTGTTGCATCAACCATTATAATCACAATACCGAATAAAAGCATTGGTCCAACTATGGAGTTCTTTTGCGTTGCAGTGTTTGAGTCTTTTAGAGTATATTGCCTTAATTCTTTCAGTTCTTATCTTCTATTTTTTTTTAACAATAGTTGATAAGCTATCTGTCAAAATATTTAATTAAAATCCAAATCCCTCCAACCTCATTGATTCTATTAGCAATAAGTGGATGTTTGCCACTGGATGCAGATGAATACTGTAATCGGTGCACACTC